GGGGGGGGGGGTGCAAACATGTCGCCTCCGGGATCAGACACCAGGAGGTGCCGGTGAGGGGGCTTCATGTTCACACAGGGCTCATTTTCCCTACTTGAGAAGTGTCCACTTACCATGAAGAGCAGCACGAAGGCGGCGGCCAGCTGAAGGGCGTGTCCCCCCCCCCCCAGGCAGGCTGCCGTCCTCTCCCGGCCCACGGCCCCCGACGCCATCCCAGTTAAAAATAACCATACCGGCCATCTCCCTCCTTCATCAGATATTTCAGATGACACTCCAAATCTTAACCCGCAGCCTCCCAATCCAGCTACTGAAACTGGAGCATGTGACTGATGACAGCACAGACTGCCCCCCCCCTCCCACCCACCTACCTCACTGGGTGCAAACATCAGGAAGACATTCCTGCAAAACTGTCCCCGATAATGACCCCACCCCCCACCTAAAAAAAAACAACAGCTAAAACTCTCAGGTGGGAGTGCTGGGTGAAGTTCACCTTCAAATGCCGTCCCCCCCCCCCCCCCCCCCAAAAGGGAAAACAATAAACATGTAAAGCAGCCTGTGGTTTAATCTGACGGTTTTTATGCAAACGCTGCAGGGTTCACCGGTCTGCCAGGGACGCATCTGGCTGTCCGGCGCATTTTAATCACTAGTGCAGGAAACCGCGGAGCGCAAGCACATGCAACAACAGCACGTAATCGCATTATCCTGGAGGGGGGGGGCGCTGGAAGTCTCTCCCCCGACATTCATGGGGGGGACTATACAATCTTGATTGCTTTTCCTCCAGACACCGCCCTGGCTGGATCGGGGGTGTCCTGATGCATGTGTGCTTCTGGGAAAACTGTGGGGCAATCAGCCTTTACCCCCCGCCCCCCCCCCACAACACCACAGCGTGACACTTGCCAAAGCCAGGGGAAGCTTCCACCTGCCGCCCCCCCAAACATAAACGTACACTAACTCTTACTTCCCTTACAGCCAAGGTTGGTTATATACCTTGCAGTTCTGGACGTACAAACACACACACACACATGCACACACACACGCACACCTGTACCTTTGTGGGGACCATCCATTCATTTCTATGGGCAAGACCCTATTCCCAATAATGACACCCCTATCCCCTACCCAGGCCTAACCACAACTATAAGTAAACAAAATACAAGTCTTTCGGTATTTTTGGTTTTTTGATTGGAGTCACGGATTTTTGTAAAACTGAATTTCTGAAAAAATGGTCCCCAAAATGTCAAAATAAGAGGTTTCTATCCGATTGTCCCCAAATGTCCCCATAATGTAACCACACCTGGACCACAGACAGCTAGACACTATCAGAGCCTCGTTCCTCCTCAGTTACAGGGTAGATTAATAGGTGCAGTTGGGAGTTAGCAGGACACAGGCTGGCACAGGCCGGCACAGGCCGGCACAGGCTGGCACAGGCTGGCACAGGCCGGCACAGAGGCCTCAGGCTACTTCCTCTCATTCCGATTAGCCTCTTAATTAGCTGCTCCAGCCAGCCCTAAAGCGCATCCTCACGACACACCAACGCCATGGAAAGTAAAAAGAGCCTTACAGGACAAAGGCTGACCCCGTCGATAAGCATGGATCAGTGACGGCTGAAGTACATGCGTCGCCACAGTACTGCCCACCAGCCCATAGGGGGCGCTCTTAAGTCCCCCCCCACCCAACTGGCTGACGGGGATGCCAGTTCAGCAGCAGTTCAGACACCACAGAGAAAAACACATCGGAGGAAAGCAAAGAGAGAAGCTGCGGAGACAAGGCCCACGTGTACAGAAATGGCCCCAGGGAGTCTCCGGGGGGGCGCCATACCGCCCCCACCCACGCTCACCATGGCGGAGGTGCGCCCCTTACTTTATGGTGTTCCTGAAGTGGTCTTCAGCCGGGTTCTTCACCGTACAGCTGTTGAGGAGCCAGACGTCTGCATGAGCTGGATCCTCTGCAGGGAGCAAAGGGGACAGAGGAGGGTGACATGAGACCCTCAGCGTCGACCCACACACCCACGACCCCCATACCCCCCATGGGGGTGGGGCGGCCACACACGATAGCCCCAACGGACCCGCCGTTAAGCGTAAGCACACAACCACGTTCTGCTTCTTGTCGGTCACTCAGTCTCAGGTCACATGACTGATACACCCACCTACCCCAACCAACCCCACCAGCATGGAGAGGGGGGCAAGGAGAAACAAAACGAGGGAACATCAGGCTCACACAAGACATTCCTCCTCCCTGTACCATGTCCATGCAGCTCTTCACACATTAGCACAACTGCACTCCATCCATCCATCCATCCATCCATCCAACAATCCCTGAACACCACAGCTGTCCAGAGCCACATCCCGAGACCCGTGGCACTCTTTTGGGAAGATGGACGGTTTACCGGGAGGTGCGCTGGCCTGCCAAAACAGTAATGTCGCTTTGTTACCCCTGAGCGACAGACACATGTAGGATGGGGGGGGGGGGGGCATTTATATTAAAGTGAAATGTTTGGTCCGAGCCTTGTCGATGTTCTGACAGGCCAGCATGCCACACTGGACGTTCACAGGGAAGCACAGGAACCAGCCGCCCACTCAGGACCCCGCCATTGTGTCACAAACACAGCCGGCAGCCGTGATGACTCACACTGACCTGTAGGGGGCAGTGTCGGCTGGCACACATGCTGGCGGCGAGAGACAGGAAGGCATGGTACAGAACGTACAGACTTCATATTGGGGGACAGACGTTTCAGCTAGTGAAACACACCCACGTGTCACACATACTTTAAGGGGGGGGGGGTGTTCCCATAAAAGAGGGAGTGGGAAATCCGGAGTGATCAGAGCACGGGGGCAAGGGGATACGACCTGCAGACCTTCTGGGATCATTCTCTTTTTCAGTTCAGGCCTAGCAGGGCACACATACAACTGAGAACAGGCTCACACAACTTCTGAGGCAGTTGGGGTTTAAGGGATTGCCTCAGGCGCTCAACGGTGACATCACTCTGCCGACCCTGAGATTAGAACCAGCGACCATCTGATCTAAGGCCCAGCGACATAAACATCTAGCCTAGCCACACACTGCCAAAACAGTGTTATCGCTTTATCAAATTTATCGCTTATTTATATTAGCGGTACTGCCAACATTAGCATTTGTACTAAATATTTACCAAGTAATATAAAAAACAATGAATCAATTCATAAACCGTCCCAACAGCAAAAAAAAACAAAAAAAAAACCTTCAATCACCAAAAACAAATAAATGCAGCTTTAAAAACAGGCCCTTAACGGCCGCCCGTGTGGAGAGAGACCAACCGTTACAGGCCACACGAGGAGAGTCTGCGGGCAGCGCCGTGGGGCTCAGCGCGTGACATCTGAAGCCCTTTCCTGCCGCACACAGGCACGGCGAGATCCGTGCCGGCACCGTGGGAACCTGCCGTGCCAGCCGCAGCCGCGCCGTGCCGCAGTAAACAAATAAAGGCAGTAAAGAGAGTGTGAGTGCGTTAAACGATAAAGCCGTGGGGGGGGCTGGGAGGACACAGGCGTCGGGCTCTGACCCCCGATGCTCACGCTGAGGCTATAAAACGTCAGACGGGCACCTCAAGAGACGACTCTGCCGGTCTGTCAGGGGGCCTCACTCGAACCCCCCTCCCCCCTCAAAAATATCATCTGCTGACTCAGAGGGTTTCAGAGGGAAGTCGAGGTTTCCAGCATGGGGGATGGAAAGCAGCTTTCTACCCTGAAAATCTAATCTCACATGCTGGATACGTGGGGAGGGGGGGAGCGGCCCCCTGGACAGCCCTCTGGGTGTGGTATCTGTGCAGTTGCGCAGTGTGGGGGGGGCACACGGGAAACGTGGAGAAGCCGCACGTTCCAGGCTCAAGTGGGAAGCGGCCAGGGAGGGACCAGGGTATTTGCATGTATTTGCCTATAGGGAGGGGAAGCCACCCCCCCCCAGCCGGGGGTGTTTACAGGAGCGGCTCCTCTTGGTGGGAGCGTTCCAACAGGTACGTCTGTCTGGGGAGGGGGAGGGGGGGGTACACCGGGAATGGCGAAAGCGACCCGAGGAGCCTGGGAATCACGGAGCAGCTCGCTCCCCAGGACACGCCGGTCACCCTGGGGGCAGCAGGACGGTGAGAGAGCCTGCCCGGGGGGGGGGACGGCTAAAATAATAACCATGTTGATAAAGGAAAAACAGGGCGAAGTCACAGGTGGCTTTTAACGCTCAGCTGCGTGTAAACACTCGTCAGAGGGCTCTGTAACGGTTCGCTGGGGTTAAGGTACAACAAGGGTGTGTGTGTGTGTGTGTGTGTGTGTGTGTGTGTCTGTCTGTACCAGCTCAGTTTCTCACAGAGTAGGACAGAGGGAGATGAACCTCGACCAAAGGACACCCCCCCTCGAAACATCCTGCCCCCATCAGCCTGCAGCTCCACTGGCCAACGTTACAGAGGCGCCCCCGGCTGGAAAAACATCTTTCCTACAGCAGAGGAGAGACACGGGATTCCACAGCACGGAAAGACGCAGCCTCCGGCTCCGAGCCTGCATGTCCCTCTACAGGTACATACAGGCAGAAGGTACACAGCCGTGGTACAAAGCGGATTGGCCCTGTCAGAGAAACCGCCAGATGACGGCACCCCCCCAGGCACACGTGCTGGGGGAGTGAAACACCCTGAATCAAAGAGACAGTCAGCTGCCAGGAGTCAAGACACTCGTGCTTGAATAGTTACTTTCATTTTCCTGGGGATGCGTCCATTAGAGAGACACAGCAGGGAGCCCCAGCCCCACGGCCGCCCCCCAGCCATGGCCCCCGTCCTCCCATCACCCGGGAGCTGTGGGTAACCGCCAGACGGGCGGGGTCACGAGGTTTCTATGCGGGGTTAGAGGCTCGCTCTGCGACGCGGCGAGGAGCCCGCAGATCCCGACGGACCACTGCTCCTCCAGATCCAGGGGTCCAAGCGGAGGAGGCACAGACGTGTGGTGCAGAGAGATGGCTGGGTGAACCCCAAGGGATCTGCTCCGGGTCTGGCCCACTGGGCAGAGGCCCCAGGGAGGCCCTAGGACATACTGGGGAGAGAGAGAGAGAGAGGTCTGGTCTGACCTGCTCAACCTGACACTACTGTGCTCTTCACCAGGGGAGCTGGGGGGAGGGGGGACTTACCTACTGCCTGTCAAACAGAAGATCATCACAGACATATTATAAAGTAAAAAAAAAAACATCAGTAACACCTTAATAGCACCTTAAATGTTTCAGCTGGGGGGGGGGTGTGATATTAGTGTTTCTGTATCTGACAGGTCCTCTCCTGCCAGATACGTCGCCCATTTCATCGGGAGCGAACAGAGTCCTGCCTGGCATTCTCCCCATCACCTCGTACCCGCGGCCGGAACGTCTCACGTCGAGAGGTTTCACACTCCAGCTGGGGGTGGGGTAAGGGGGGGGATCCGTCTCCGCTCTCCGAATCATCAGCTGAGCGGAAAGGTGCGAGGCGGAGGTCTAATTATCGCCGTCGCCCCGGGAGATGAGACACTCCAACAGGACTCCATCCGCCGCGAACCCCGGGCCCCGCGAGCCCCCCCTCCCCCCATTTCGCATGTATTTTCGATTGACCCCGGACATTTTGGGGTAACAGCCCCCGTTGATGCTGGACGTGCGCTTTCTGGGCGAGGTCCCACAGCGAGACGCAGAAATCCTAAAACGTCCTCAAGTCCTCGATGATAGCACTAAAGTGCAGATCCCCCCCCCAAAAAAAAGTTCCCTGTATGACTGAGCACAACAAGCAAAGTCCATGACGACATGGGGGGTTTTANCAAAATACAAGTCTTTCGGTATTTTTGGTTTTTTGATTGGAGTCACGGATTTTTGTAAAACTGAATTTCTGAAAAAATGGTCCCCAAAATGTCAAAATAAGAGGTTTCTATCCGATTGTCCCCAAATGTCCCCATAATGTAACCACACCTGGACCACAGACAGCTAGACACTATCAGAGCCTCGTTCCTCCTCAGTTACAGGGTAGATTAATAGGTGCAGTTGGGAGTTAGCAGGACACAGGCTGGCACAGGCCGGCACAGGCCGGCACAGGCTGGCACAGGCTGGCACAGGCCGGCACAGAGGCCTCAGGCTACTTCCTCTCATTCCGATTAGCCTCTTAATTAGCTGCTCCAGCCAGCCCTAAAGCGCATCCTCACGACACACCAACGCCATGGAAAGTAAAAAGAGCCTTACAGGACAAAGGCTGACCCCGTCGATAAGCATGGATCAGTGACGGCTGAAGTACATGCGTCGCCACAGTACTGCCCACCAGCCCATAGGGGGCGCTCTTAAGTCCCCCCCCACCCAACTGGCTGACGGGGATGCCAGTTCAGCAGCAGTTCAGACACCACAGAGAAAAACACATCGGAGGAAAGCAAAGAGAGAAGCTGCGGAGACAAGGCCCACGTGTACAGAAATGGCCCCAGGGAGTCTCCGGGGGGGCGCCATACCGCCCCCACCCACGCTCACCATGGCGGAGGTGCGCCCCTTACTTTATGGTGTTCCTGAAGTGGTCTTCAGCCGGGTTCTTCACCGTACAGCTGTTGAGGAGCCAGACGTCTGCATGAGCTGGATCCTCTGCAGGGAGCAAAGGGGACAGAGGAGGGTGACATGAGACCCTCAGCGTCGACCCACACACCCACGACCCCCATACCCCCCATGGGGGTGGGGCGGCCACACACGATAGCCCCAACGGACCCGCCGTTAAGCGTAAGCACACAACCACGTTCTGCTTCTTGTCGGTCACTCAGTCTCAGGTCACATGACTGATACACCCACCTACCCCAACCAACCCCACCAGCATGGAGAGGGGGGCAAGGAGAAACAAAACGAGGGAACATCAGGCTCACACAAGACATTCCTCCTCCCTGTACCATGTCCATGCAGCTCTTCACACATTAGCACAACTGCACTCCATCCATCCATCCATCCATCCATCCAACAATCCCTGAACACCACAGCTGTCCAGAGCCACATCCCGAGACCCGTGGCACTCTTTTGGGAAGATGGACGGTTTACCGGGAGGTGCGCTGGCCTGCCAAAACAGTAATGTCGCTTTGTTACCCCTGAGCGACAGACACATGTAGGATGGGGGGGGGGGGGGCATTTATATTAAAGTGAAATGTTTGGTCCGAGCCTTGTCGATGTTCTGACAGGCCAGCATGCCACACTGGACGTTCACAGGGAAGCACAGGAACCAGCCGCCCACTCAGGACCCCGCCATTGTGTCACAAACACAGCCGGCAGCCGTGATGACTCACACTGACCTGTAGGGGGCAGTGTCGGCTGGCACACATGCTGGCGGCGAGAGACAGGAAGGCATGGTACAGAACGTACAGACTTCATATTGGGGGACAGACGTTTCAGCTAGTGAAACACACCCACGTGTCACACATACTTTAAGGGGGGGGGGGTGTTCCCATAAAAGAGGGAGTGGGAAATCCGGAGTGATCAGAGCACGGGGGCAAGGGGATACGACCTGCAGACCTTCTGGGATCATTCTCTTTTTCAGTTCAGGCCTAGCAGGGCACACATACAACTGAGAACAGGCTCACACAACTTCTGAGGCAGTTGGGGTTTAAGGGATTGCCTCAGGCGCTCAACGGTGACATCACTCTGCCGACCCTGAGATTAGAACCAGCGACCATCTGATCTAAGGCCCAGCGACATAAACATCTAGCCTAGCCACACACTGCCAAAACAGTGTTATCGCTTTATCAAATTTATCGCTTATTTATATTAGCGGTACTGCCAACATTAGCATTTGTACTAAATATTTACCAAGTAATATAAAAAACAATGAATCAATTCATAAACCGTCCCAACAGCAAAAAAAAACAAAAAAAAAACCTTCAATCACCAAAAACAAATAAATGCAGCTTTAAAAACAGGCCCTTAACGGCCGCCCGTGTGGAGAGAGACCAACCGTTACAGGCCACACGAGGAGAGTCTGCGGGCAGCGCCGTGGGGCTCAGCGCGTGACATCTGAAGCCCTTTCCTGCCGCACACAGGCACGGCGAGATCCGTGCCGGCACCGTGGGAACCTGCCGTGCCAGCCGCAGCCGCGCCGTGCCGCAGTAAACAAATAAAGGCAGTAAAGAGAGTGTGAGTGCGTTAAACGATAAAGCCGTGGGGGGGGCTGGGAGGACACAGGCGTCGGGCTCTGACCCCCGATGCTCACGCTGAGGCTATAAAACGTCAGACGGGCACCTCAAGAGACGACTCTGCCGGTCTGTCAGGGGGCCTCACTCGAACCCCCCTCCCCCCTCAAAAATATCATCTGCTGACTCAGAGGGTTTCAGAGGGAAGTCGAGGTTTCCAGCATGGGGGATGGAAAGCAGCTTTCTACCCTGAAAATCTAATCTCACATGCTGGATACGTGGGGAGGGGGGGAGCGGCCCCCTGGACAGCCCTCTGGGTGTGGTATCTGTGCAGTTGCGCAGTGTGGGGGGGGCACACGGGAAACGTGGAGAAGCCGCACGTTCCAGGCTCAAGTGGGAAGCGGCCAGGGAGGGACCAGGGTATTTGCATGTATTTGCCTATAGGGAGGGGAAGCCACCCCCCCCCAGCCGGGGGTGTTTACAGGAGCGGCTCCTCTTGGTGGGAGCGTTCCAACAGGTACGTCTGTCTGGGGAGGGGGAGGGGGGGGTACACCGGGAATGGCGAAAGCGACCCGAGGAGCCTGGGAATCACGGAGCAGCTCGCTCCCCAGGACACGCCGGTCACCCTGGGGGCAGCAGGACGGTGAGAGAGCCTGCCCGGGGGGGGGGACGGCTAAAATAATAACCATGTTGATAAAGGAAAAACAGGGCGAAGTCACAGGTGGCTTTTAACGCTCAGCTGCGTGTAAACACTCGTCAGAGGGCTCTGTAACGGTTCGCTGGGGTTAAGGTACAACAAGGGTGTGTGTGTGTGTGTGTGTGTGTGTGTGTGTGTCTGTCTGTACCAGCTCAGTTTCTCACAGAGTAGGACAGAGGGAGATGAACCTCGACCAAAGGACACCCCCCCTCGAAACATCCTGCCCCCATCAGCCTGCAGCTCCACTGGCCAACGTTACAGAGGCGCCCCCGGCTGGAAAAACATCTTTCCTACAGCAGAGGAGAGACACGGGATTCCACAGCACGGAAAGACGCAGCCTCCGGCTCCGAGCCTGCATGTCCCTCTACAGGTACATACAGGCAGAAGGTACACAGCCGTGGTACAAAGCGGATTGGCCCTGTCAGAGAAACCGCCAGATGACGGCACCCCCCCAGGCACACGTGCTGGGGGAGTGAAACACCCTGAATCAAAGAGACAGTCAGCTGCCAGGAGTCAAGACACTCGTGCTTGAATAGTTACTTTCATTTTCCTGGGGATGCGTCCATTAGAGAGACACAGCAGGGAGCCCCAGCCCCACGGCCGCCCCCCAGCCATGGCCCCCGTCCTCCCATCACCCGGGAGCTGTGGGTAACCGCCAGACGGGCGGGGTCACGAGGTTTCTATGCGGGGTTAGAGGCTCGCTCTGCGACGCGGCGAGGAGCCCGCAGATCCCGACGGACCACTGCTCCTCCAGATCCAGGGGTCCAAGCGGAGGAGGCACAGACGTGTGGTGCAGAGAGATGGCTGGGTGAACCCCAAGGGATCTGCTCCGGGTCTGGCCCACTGGGCAGAGGCCCCAGGGAGGCCCTAGGACATACTGGGGAGAGAGAGAGAGAGAGGTCTGGTCTGACCTGCTCAACCTGACACTACTGTGCTCTTCACCAGGGGAGCTGGGGGGAGGGGGGACTTACCTACTGCCTGTCAAACAGAAGATCATCACAGACATATTATAAAGTAAAAAAAAAAACATCAGTAACACCTTAATAGCACCTTAAATGTTTCAGCTGGGGGGGGGGTGTGATATTAGTGTTTCTGTATCTGACAGGTCCTCTCCTGCCAGATACGTCGCCCATTTCATCGGGAGCGAACAGAGTCCTGCCTGGCATTCTCCCCATCACCTCGTACCCGCGGCCGGAACGTCTCACGTCGAGAGGTTTCACACTCCAGCTGGGGGTGGGGTAAGGGGGGGGATCCGTCTCCGCTCTCCGAATCATCAGCTGAGCGGAAAGGTGCGAGGCGGAGGTCTAATTATCGCCGTCGCCCCGGGAGATGAGACACTCCAACAGGACTCCATCCGCCGCGAACCCCGGGCCCCGCGAGCCCCCCCTCCCCCCATTTCGCATGTATTTTCGATTGACCCCGGACATTTTGGGGTAACAGCCCCCGTTGATGCTGGACGTGCGCTTTCTGGGCGAGGTCCCACAGCGAGACGCAGAAATCCTAACAGACCTTAAAATGCCTCATGATAGCACTAAAGTGCAGATCCCCCCCCCAAAAAAAAGTTCCCTGTATGACTGAGCACAACAAGCAAAGTCCATGACGACATGGGGGGTTTTAGCTCAAAAGATGATCATCCAGGGGCGGTGGATCTCCAGTCACTGGGCGTGGAGTCTGGGCGTCTGGAGGCACGTCCTCGAAGTTAAACCGGCAGGTGACAGAGCGTGCCCCCCCCCGTGGGGACAGAGCGTGGCGAGTTCTGAATGGAAATGCGCATCCCAACGCCAGGCAGCCAACTGCCACCGCACCGAAATCAGCACAGCGGGACACGGAAATACCTTTCTGCGTTTGCAATTCCACTTAAATCCAAGGAAATGACAGCGGAATGGAAGGCAGCCCCCCCGCCACGGAGGCCGGTTTTAGCCACAGGGGGGAGCCATTGTTTACACACGTCCAGCCGAACGCCCCTTATATCTGCGGCAAAAACAACCCCTGCGGAGACGGGTGCACGACTGACACTTCTCGCTCCAACCCCACGCAAAACCTACAGGGGGGCGCCGCAGGACAGGGCTGCTTTCGGCACAGGGGGAGGGTGACTAGATCAGGGCAGAGAGGCAACGTCGAAAAGGTAATGAATCACGCACACATACCCAAAACAGCCCAAGTCTGCAAACTGGGCACCCAGCAAAGCCTCCCTTTCACCAGCTCCAGCAGGACCAGCGCCCCCTACAGGGCGAGGGCTGGAACAGTAGCTTGACAAGCCTCAGGCTCCCCAGCAGCATTTCATTCTCATTTAACATGAAAACACAGATTTCGAGACAGCGAGGATTCGGCCTGGATTCAGCGGTCAGTTTTATTGTAAGACGAACACACAATCCGGCTTGGGGCGCGTCTCCAAAAAGCATATTTGCTAACTATGTTAGCAACCTACATAGTTGAAAAAAATGCAACTGAATGGGTCCAGCTCTGCGATTGGCTGGCGGGAGCTTTGGGGAAACGAGGGAAACAGCCCTGATCCCTGAATGGGATCAGCAGCATCTTGGGGCTCAAGGTCCCCAACACCAGACTACAGGTGACAGAGACGGGACACAGCAGGGGGCTGGTGACACGCCCTCACACCTCTGCAAATCACACGTGAATCTGCGGGAATCGGACCCGCCGCGTGTGCCATCCATCTCCCCTCCTCCCCGACAGATATTTTAAAATTCATGAATTTGGCGGCTTGGCAGAGGAACATACATCCATCATCCATTATTTATAGCAAATAAAGGAAGCGGATCAAA